TTCCGCCACAATACCAACATTTATAAAAGGAGGTCATAACTTAAGCGAGCTGTTATAATCCAAACGCTTTTTAAGAAATCGCCCAAAACCAATGATGAAACAGCGAATTCGAAAATGTGTTTAAAAATCTGGTTCCTGGATATTATTTTGCGCGTGATCTCGAACCATGAGGTGGGAGTCTGTGACACTTGTATAGTTGTACATGACTGCTATTCGCAAAGTAAAGTGAGCATACATTTTGCACCGTAAGTCATTGCAAATACATTTCGCAAAGTTGCGCTTTTTATTTTTGGGACTCGATCGAGTCTTATTAGCCTTCGCTCGAGTCGAGTCGAGTCTTCTGATGAGGGACTCGAGTCGAGTCGAGTACATAAACAAATATTTACCATTTTTTTTAATTTTGCTGTTTTTCTAATCAAATCTAATTTACAACCATTTTTGCAGAATTCTGCCAGAAATCTGCCAAAAAAAATCCATTATGTCAAATATCCTGTGAAACTCTCGTTTTGTAAACAAAAATTCTGTCAAAGTTAGCCGAAAATCGGCTAAAACGGTCACCCTGCGTCCAATGTACATGCACATTCATGGCTCGCGCTGCGCCTCACGACGAACGTTCAGTCAGAGATCGGTGTGTGGGTGTGCCAGACTGTGTGGGTAACGGACACCCCAAGTTGCTGTGAAAAAATTCACGCATGAGTGGGTTTACAACTTGGGCCTGTCGTGAATATTGGTGTCAATATTGGCGTAAATATTTGCGACATGGAGGCCATGTCGTGAATATTGGCGTCAATATTGGCGTCAATATTTGCGACATTGAGACCATGTCGTGAATATTGGCGTCAATATTGGCGTCAATATTTGCGACTTGGGTCCATGTCGTGAATATTGGCGTCAATATTGGCGCAAATATTTGCCACATGGAGGCCATGTCGTGAATATTGGCGTCAATATTGGCGTCAATATATTATGTGCGATGTCCCTTTAGAGCCACCATAGTGAGGCCACACAGGATCGCTGCAAGCATTACGCTGTGCACGGATTGGAATGGATTGGTTGGGAAAGAAGTAAACTACGCAATTTGCGGGAACGCAACAATATGAAAAAAATGATAGAGAGATAGTTTCAGAAATCTTCATTTGTAAACGTTGGCATTACAGCAAGCACAGCTAGATTTTATTGCTCAGAGAATATTCTTTCAAACATTCAAATTCAAACTCGATGGCCAAAATGTAAACTAAAGATGCCCATCAGAGAACATTCCAAAGTAAAAACTAGAGCTTCGCGTTTGTTGAGTTACAAACACAGAGTGGTCAGGCGGACCGCCTGTTCAGTAAACACTGACCAGTTACATATGTTTATGTTGAACAAAGGATTACGAAATTAAATCCTTTCCAGTGAAACAGTAAACATTCTTTGTGCGCTTAAAAAGTTATTTGTGGTTTGATGACGTCATCAATATAAAACGGTATGTAAATACTCATAAAGTTTGTAGAGGATAAAGTTTCATTGTGAAGTTAAAATAACGTAACTTCCGGTTTGATGACGTATTAATAACACCTAATTTACCGTTTAATGACGTCGCAGCATTAGAGATCCAAAGGAGAACACTGTAATGGATATCATTATTTGGACTACGAAGATATGACAGGGATCAAGTGATAGAATTAGATTGAAATATGATACCTTTCAAATTCTCATAGAAGTAACTTGCGGTTTGATGACGTCATATGAATTTAAAACCTTGCCAAGTTATCTTTGGTTACCAGAGAATATCAAGGGGCGATTTGGTAATATGTGGACGGATCAGTGATGTAGTGCCTCGATGCTGGGCCTTGGCAAGGCTGCCTTAAGGCTGGATTTTAGGGCCTTGGCCTTGGCCTCGAGGCTTGAGGGCAAAAGCCTTGGCCTTGGCCTTGGCCTTGAGGGTTCAGGGCCTTGCAATTTTGAGTCAAGGCTCTTCAAGGCCCATAGATTTTTGCATCCGACGGATGGTTTTAAAATTAAAGAAAGCAAACGCTGTATTATGTGCCGCTATGGGGCGCCCTTTCAGATGATAACGCCATCACACTGTCTTTGTGTCTTGTATTCCTCATATAACATTTTCATAATTTATATGTATGTAGTAAAATACTACCGTGTTTAAGTTATATTCGGTTTTCATTGCACTTCCGGTAGCACCGAAAGTGAAGGTAAAGCGGATTTGTGTCCGGGGACAAGAAATGTTTGACACGGCATAGTCTACAACCTCACGAAAAACGAACACGATACTCTTTTTAGTTCAAAAGATATAGCGCAAACTATTTTGTCAAAATTTGCCCTGAAATCGCTTGTAATTTGAGACCTGATGACGTCATGATGACGTCATGATGACGTTACAAAGATTATGACATCTTCGTTACATGGTACAAGTTCACACTAGGTTTTATGATCATAGCGCTCAGCGTTTAGATAAAATTTTGCTTTGTTTTGATTTCAGGCTAAAGTTTTTTTTTTTTAAAACACGTAACTTTGACCTTCCGGTAGACCTGGAAGTAAAGGTCAAGTAAAGGTACAATTATTTATCAACTAATGGTCTATCTGATTACAAAGTTGGAACATACTTGATTATTTTGTTTAAGAGTTATAGGCGAAAGTAATTGGCCACTTATTCCTCTAAAATCGCTTGTAATTTGACCCTCGATGACGTCATCATGACGTCAGAGTAATATGCACTACTAGCGATGAGGTTCCATATAATTACAAGTTCATACCATATACCGTTTAGGAGAAAACCCGCGGAGAAGTATTGTCCGGAATAAAAAGAAAGAAAGAAAGAAAGAACTAGAGGTTCGCGTTTGTTGTTACAAACGCAGAGTGGTCGGGCAGGCATTTTTTTCCCCAGTAAACACTGCCGTGTTAAATTATGAATATTTGAACAAAGGATCACGAAATTAAATCCTTTCCAGTACAATCAATTATTTGGTGGTAGAATTCAGTAAATATTACACAAGTAATTTCTGGCGTCATTATTCGAAAATGGGATGTGAATACTGATTTGAGTGGATAAAAGTAACTTCCGGTCTGATGACGTCATAACTTTGAAACCTTGCCAAGTTATTTGTGGTTAATCAAAGAATATCAAGGAACGATTGGTAAAATTTGAACGGATGGTTTTCAAATAAGAAAGATAAAACACTGTTTTATGTGCCACTAGGGGGCGCCCTTTCGAAAGATGACGTCATTACACATTTTTGTCTGGCATTCCTCACTAAACACTATCATAATGTATATGTGTGTAGTAAAATGCTTCCGCTTTTGATTTGAATTGCATTCGGTTTTCATTGCACTTCGGGTAATACCGAAAGTGAAGGTCAAGCGGTTTTGTGTCCGGGGACAAGAAATGTTTCTCACGGCATAGTCTTCAACCTCACGAAATAACGAACACGATGCTCTATTTAGTTTAGAAGATATAGCGCAAACTATTTTGTAAGAATTTGCTCTTAAATCGTTTGTAATTTGATACCTGATGACGTCATGATGACGTAACAAAAGTAATAACATCTTCGCATTATGTTACAAGTTCACATTAGGTTTCTGGATCATACCGTAAAACGTTTGGAAGAATTTCTGCTTTGTTTTGATTTCAGGCTAAAGTGTTCATTTTAAATTCACCTAACGTTTACCTTCCGGTAGACCCGGAAGTAAGGGTCAAGCGAGTTCACGTACACGACAAAAAAAATGTTTATCAATTCATGGTCTGTCCGATTACAGAATACAAACACTATTGATTATTTTGTGCAAGAGTTATAGGTGAAAGTAATTGGTCACCTTTTCAGCTAATATCGCTTGTAATTTAACACCCGATGACGTCATCATGACGTCAGAGTAATATGCACCACTAGGCATGAGGGTCGATATATAGTGAAAGTTACAAGTTCATATCATGAACCGTTTAGGAGAAAAGCCGCGGAGAAGTATTGTCCCGAAAAAGAAGAAGAAGATTTATTAGCACAATAACAGAGAGTGGTCGGGTTGTGCCCGACCACTGAAAGAAGATTTATGAGAACAGTTCCAGATAGTGGTCGGGTTGTGCCCGGCCACTCAAAAAAAGAAGAAAACATTGTTATAACAGGTGAAGAAACGGTTTGGTATACCTGTTGTGTGCCAACAGCATGTCTTCCCGGAATGTGGATAGCTCTTGCTTTGTGCTGGGAATTCCAGGCTTGCTACCATACTTCACGTTTCCTGCAAAAACAAAAGACTCGATTCCTAAAATAAATCCGACACAAAAAATACTGTGAACAATTACCCCCCCCCCCAAAAAAAGTCGGGAGTTACCAAAATCACTTTTGAGTTGACTAGGCTTACATGACTTGGCAAAAAAAACATCAGGTTAGGAACACCTCTT